TGTGTCTGTCAACACGGCATCTCAGACACGAGGTATGAGTTTAATCGGGACTTCGAAGGTGCTGAGGCGAGTACATCGAATTCGTGCATAACTCAGTGCGCACAAATATGACGATAGTCATATACTAGGTGGTCAAGGTGAAATGCCGTCGCAAATGGCGCTCGCATCAGGCTGCATAGCCGTACATCTTGCCCATACTGACCAGACCAGAATACCATTCTGTCTCTATTCGTCGCAAGTCACCGACTTACTATCCGCCGCAGCATCCAACGTGGGATTAATTCAATTCTCAAAGGAATACGAGGATAAGACAAACGTTGTCCCTGCAGAGAAACATGAACTGCGACACTTGTGGAACTGGTTCAGAAGGTTCGTCGTCACATGCTGTGCGACCATTTTTCGGTAGTCGGTCTAACACCGAGATCTTGCAATATCTGTACCCAAGTCTTTTGCCGTTCACGGTGTACAAATGCTACCTACAAAGATTCTGAATAACCCGATCCAATCACTGCACGACAAACTTGCCAGGTGTCAGTCACGTAGTGCGTTCATCGGATCATCCTACCTCCGTTTATCTACCCGAACCGAACTGCTTAGGAGATTCACCGTCCCAGCTTCAACGGGAACCCTCAGAGACCCGGCGGCTGTCCAGCAGCATTACTTGGATAATCTTCCGACTTGAATCGGCTGTCTACGATCCTCTGTGTAATATCTCGAATTTATTCTAGTCACTGCACATGTTATCTTATTTATCAACTGTCAGTATTTTATGCCATTTACTTATTGATACGTCTTAACAATGCTAAAAAACAGAGTTTGCTGTGAGCTCTATTAACATGAATACTTTCAACTCGACGTATTATTTAATACACTACCCTGTGTAGTTGCATGTCAGAATGTCCAACTGCTGCAGTACAATAATTTTTCCACTGATTATGCATGAATTGAACGTCTGAACGTTTAACCATGAAATTACGCACTCAAATTCGTATGAGTTCAAGTTTTACACACTCTGCTAACGTGCGAGCTTCGTGCAGTATGCGGCATAGGAAGCACACGCCGCCGATGATCAGGGTGTACCGGCATCGACAGAGCAAGGTTAAGTAAGCACTGTCTGAACAGGCGCGCGTCAGTGACACATTGACCATTCAGTCCTGCGACAGTGTCAACCGTGGCAACGGATGCAAACTCTGTGACGACTGAGCGAGCTTCGAAAGACCCAGTTGCCAGAAAACTACTTAAGCCACGGCACAGACCAAGCCAACAGCTCGCCTCGTGGCTGCGAACATAAGAACAGCTGCGAGCGATAAAAAACATTCCTTCGAAACTCACTTGCCTCTCAAGTTAGAAGAAGGCCGTGAGGCACGAGCCGAGAAGTGGTAGTGGTCAGCCACCCGACTGACCAAACTGTTTGAGTTTGAGCCGCGTTTGCGAATAAAGCGTGTTTTCTGCAGCTTTCAAGGCAATTAGCCTTACAGAGGTAAAAAAGCAGCTCTTATAAAGCCATTTGTGCCATAGTGTTGCGATACAGAAGTCAGTTTGATAACTTTCCCACATGTCCTAGCTGGATGCCGAACTCACAATACGCGGAGTAATTAACCATAAGATCATTTGCATTATTGTTCGTGCAAAACCTTGCAGTACGTATTATTCAGCGCATGCTGAAGACAATCAACACTCGTTCAATCGAAATATCGTACTTCATTACGTCCTCAGACTAAGCTTCGTTGAACGCCGTGGACAATGCTATTTTACTACCCAAACGAACGCCGGAAAGTGAGGTTAAAATGTTTCTGGAACGATAACAAGTCCACAAATACCGTTATGCCGCTCTAGAAAAATCGAATAAGTTATCCTTATCCAAAGTTTGACGTTCGTGTCGCAATTCCTCTTAAGGGACGTCGACGCTCGTCACTTCGCTACTGTTGTCTCCATGAGGTACAGCTCAAGCAGGCATTTGATTTACATAATGATTTTCTGCTGGTAAATTTTAAGGGCCTACAGGTGGCGCAAAGGAAGGCCGTTCCGATACACAGAGACGGCTGTTTCCGGTCACGCGCCACCAAGATATCTTTCGGTGATCGAAACCGCAAAAACTCCTTCACTTCTCTGAATCAGTTGCGATGAATGAAGGCGGGGTAGACATCGGCAACAGTTCAAGAGGGTTGTCAGTGACGTCGACCGGGCTGGCGAATAACCACTCGGCTACTACTACAAAAACGCTCCGGCACAGAGCAGATAGGAGGAACGTCGACTTGCACTCGTAGCGCGTCTGCGGTGAGGGCCAGTCGGACGGAGGCAAACGCGATATTCGACCGGCTACCAGCGATCAGCGTCGTCAAGCGACCTCACTCGTCAAGGGTCAGCCCTTCAGACAGCACGAACA